ATGTGCCCCTCTTAGAGCCCAATGTAGATATATGTTTCACACCGCTGCGCTAGGCTCAAACCACACCCCAACAGACTGCAGCCGCAGTGAGAAAAGAGTGACGCCTGTGGTTAGGTCGGAGTGGGGTAGGATAGTGTAAGAGTGGACTTTAAGATTTGGTCTAAAACTTTTACGAACAGACTCTGAGGGCAGGTGCCGGCCACTCCGAGTGGAGTGCACTCCTTCTTAGTAGCCGGCCATGCATAGGATGGTGAGCAGACTCCGAGTGGACGGGCCGGCCATGCAAACGATGCGCCAAGCCAACTGCGTGTCTTGCACGCACCACCATCCCCTTCAAGAGTTCGCTTGCTGAGCATTTGCGTTCTCAAACAAATCGCCGTGAAGAGACGGGTGTCAGGGTTGCTGAGGGGCAGGGTGTCGAGATTATTCATGTTTTAAAAAGGGTTGTCAGGGTTCTCAAAAACTTCTGGCTTGGCCACGTCAGTTCAAATGCCTGAAGGGCTGAGCGCCCTTGGGTGGACAAATGAGTGCTCATCCCAAGACTAACACGTCCCTTTCCAACCGCCTCACCAAGTTGACCCCTAACATGGCGGCGATACTCCCAAATATGGAGGCGCACGAGGCCAAGCAGGCGTTTTGCCGCAGTCGGTTTGCCTGCTCCCAGCTGCTGGCGCTGCGGCTGTTGTCGGTATTTGCCGTTATGATCACAAATTTGGTACGGATAAAGTTTGTTGGATAAAGCGTCAATAGCGAATTTGGCGCCCATTCCGTGTGATTTTTATGGAATAGGTTATGGGTAATTACGGGGGACTAATCCCTAATCTTTGTGTTCTAACTGAATTAGTGGGGATTATGGCAGCCCAGGCCGACAAACCACCTTGACGCAGAGGCCTGCCGAGCCTTGGCAGAGGCGTTGGCGGCCTTTCCAGGCAAGAATGGCCGGGAATTGGCTAAATTGGGAAGTCGATGTACGTGGAGGCATACAGAAACATTGCATAGAGAGTATCTAAGTGATGTTTTCCAAGTATTTGAAATTCCATCTGCCAACATTCAAGATTCTTTTGCTGCGTATTGCCTTTGGGCTTCGCGTGAGAGGTGGGATCGTGGCAGTCACCCACGATGACCTTCTCATGTACCGCTTGATCCACTGCCGCTTGTCTCAAGCACCTTCAGTGGCCTCCACATTGTTGAACATTATGCTGAAGCCGTGCTATCGCGTGGTTGTCTAGCCTTGCTATAGTATAGGGTGGTTTCTCAAAATACACCCCTTTATAATCCCAAATCAGGAGATCCGTACTCCCCATATGTTGTCGTTAGGCCTGTGCGGTGGATCCCTTCGACCATCAGAACCTAGGCAACTGGAACACCAGTGAGCTACTCCTGTGCCGTGATGGTGTTGTCTGGAAGCAGCGAAATTTCAGCTCCCACAGCCTGAAGACCTTCCAGGACTTGTGGATAGCCGAATACTGGGTGTTGCTAGGCAGAAGGCTCAGCTACCACGACTTCCAGCACACTCGCGCTGGTTTCGCAACCTGAAGCCCACCAACTTCGTGAGTGATTTATGCATATGGCTCAAATCGCCACCAGTAGGCCAGTTAGGAAGCTTGGTCTTGTTCTGCGATGCTTTGCGCTTGGTCGGATGCATCGCGAGGTGAGTGGCCAGTCTGTACAGTCCTCCGCGGTTGGCTCGGATGATGGTGCTTGCGATGAACTGCCGAGTTTTTGGGAGGCATATCGCACCCTTGCCCAGTGCTATCAGGCAGAGGTGGCCCGACTGACGACACACACGCACCCCTCAGTCAAAGAGCTCACACATTCTGACAAGGAGTTGACTATTCCGAAGCAAGAGACCTCGATCAGATCTGTCTTATCAAACACCAGATCTGGCAGAGCACGTAGGCCATCCTTTGCAGAAAATGGTCTTGGATCAGCTGAGCTGAGTGCTATGCGTGAAACTGTGGATGAGCGGAACGCGCCAGCGCCCCAGGTCATCCTTTTACTAGTAAGTCTGAAATTCGCCCGGTCTTGCACCCAAAATCGTTGGATAGTTACGATGAGGACGCCAAGAAGGCACCTTCAGTTTTCAGATATTCCACAAGGTTCTGGTATGGCACGCGCCTGTAGGAACCGCATTGTGTTTACTTTCCATTTGAAAGACCATCCAAAATCCTGGCACGGCATCCCGATTGAGGCGTACCATTGGCCACCAGTTGCAGCAGCTGGTGTATCTTCTGCCTGAAGGCCATGGCCATTTCTTGGAGCCTGGAGAGCTTCCTGACGAGGCTGCCGACATAGATGCCTGGTTCTTCAGAATAGAAGGGTTTAGGGCTCAGGGTTTAGGGTTAGGAGAGGAGGAGGAAGAGCATCATCAGAATTAGTAGCACAGGCCGGGAACTTCTGGATTACTTGCAGGGTCTTCTCAAGCACGACATAGCAGTTCCTTAGTAGATTCCCTAAACCAAAACCCTAAACCCCGAGAAGACAGCCAAGGAGATTCTGTATGTCCCATCCACCTGCTGGGTCCCTGACACTTCCTCTCCTTCTGTGCACCACCGGCGCAGCAGCGCCACACTTGCGACTACGGACGTCAAGGCAGCAGAAGAGTTTTAAGTTGAAGGATATAGTCCCCCTTAAGTAGATACAATATGGCTTTGGGTATATTATAAGAAGATCCCCATATACCGTATCATATACCCCATATTCTATCTACTTAAGGGGGACTATAAGGTTTAAGGCTCAGGGCCTCTGGTTTAGGGTTTGAGTTTAGGGAATCTGTCTTCCACAAGACACAGGGACGATACATTTCCTGAAGGCAATCATAGGCCACACCATTCCACGAATCAGCTTTGGGGAAGAAATCTTTTTTGGCCACAGATGCCAAGGCAGCGCAAAAGGCCGGGACGCCCAAAGCCATTCTGCTGCCAGCAAGCCGCCTACGCAGCTCGTGGGACGTGCTCAGCCGCCCACCTCAAAAGGACGTGCACCAAACGGATTGTGAGTGGAATTGCTCTTAACAAAGGGTCCTTGCTTTGAATCCACTAAGGGTTTAGGGTATATTATCCCCCTAGAATGGAGAATCAAATGGAAAAGAACATGGAAAATGAAATGGAAACTGGGGTATACCCTATTATACTATAGTAGTTTCCATTTTCTTTTCCATTATCCCCATATAACCCCAATATATACTAACAGGTACTCAAGGACATGCAGCAACTTCCAGCAGAATGCTCAGAAAGCTATGATAGTACTCGTATCAATTTTCAGAAGAGTGACAACAAGATTCAAGATGTTGCCTCCGCAGCTAAAAGAAGCCCATCCTCGGAGGATTCATGCTTTGCACCCATATTGGGTACACTAAACTTAGAGCCCTAAGGCCTAAGGCCCTCCTTAAACTAGACAAAAGGCCGCTTAGAAAAAATGCTTGAAAGCCAACCCGTTTCTTGGACCCGCTCAAGGCCTTGTTTGCTTGGTGCTCGACCTCATTCTTGGGCCACTAGGCGTTTTCAGCGACAGGCGGCGGCTCCCCCAAATCTGCCAGCTCTCATGGGTTTACGAGGAGGATTGTAGTACGCTGTTTGGGACTTCTTTGGCATTCATGCAGCGGGATCTTCATTGGATTTTCTAGGGTTTTGTTCAGGGACTTTTCAGGGCTCCATGGAGGAACCCACAGGTGGCCTAATGCCGCGCAGAGTATGGCCTGGCTGCTGTTTCCATTCTTCTGGACGCTGGATATTTTCGTGACTTTCTGCACTCCATACTACTGGAAGGGCGACTTGGTGTGCAGCCACGCGCAGATAGCGAAGAAGTATGCGCGAGAGTGGCTGTGCTTTGACATCCTCTATGTCGTCTTGGATTTCGTGGTACTGGTACACCACATTCCAGCCAGTTCCATGGCAGTACTTCGCTTGAGCCAGTTCCTTCTCCGGCTGGTTCGGCTGACCAGACGCGCGGATGTGGTTCATGTGTTTGTTCAAAACCTGTTTTGCACCAGTCAGCTTCCAAAACACCCTAAAACATGGCAAGAAATGCCTAAACCCCAAGCCATTCACCGAGGAATGAGCAAAATGGCTGAAGGTCTCAAGAGCCGAGTGAGCTCAGAGATGGTGAGTGATGTCAATATCATGCAGATCTCATTGCAACTTCTTCTCATCCACCATCTCATGGCCTGTTCCTGGTGAATGGCCCTGTTGAGGAGCTATGTCTATGCATAGAGCTCCTTAATGCTACGGAGGGTGGTGACCGCAGACACACATCTTGCCTGAGCTTGGTAGCGGCCTAGACTCTAGACGCTGGGATGGTCGTATTTCGGCTGCTTGTTGATATCAACTGAGGTATTACGTCGGCACTGTAGAGTCGGATGGATGGGTCGCCAAGAACATGTTTGTTGCGTCGGTTTCGTACAAGTACACAACGTCCCTCCACTGGACATGTCGCTGCAAATAGTTGCAAGCCATACAGTGTTTTGCATAAATGCTGATCAGATTCTGCCATATCTGCTATAATATCTTGCAGTGGTGATGTTGGCCGAGTGGCACTTGCACGACACCCCAACCTTAACCCAGCACCCATCTGTGCTGAGCAACAATGCCTGCCGAGAGGGCCGCCAAATAACTGACGGCTAAATGAAGAGCTAAATTCTAAGAGCCTGAGTGGAGGACCTTCTGCCAGCTGGGCTTTGGTGGCACAGAGATCGAACCTGTGAACACGGCTGAGCGGATTTTTGGTATCCTTGTGGCGCTTTTGGCCCTGGCCATCTTCTCCACTTTACTGGGAACCATCGCCAGCCATATGGCCACGCTGTCGAGGAACACGGAGGAGAGGCGCAGCCTTTTCCGGCAGCTCAGCAAGTTTCTAGGCCGGCAGCACATCCCTGCGGAGCTTGCCCTGCGTATCCGATGCCCCTTGGCTTGGCCGAAGCTGTGTGGGCTGTTTTAATTGGCGGGTTTCGATAAGCGGTGGCTTAAGAGGGCATGGAGCTTCGCCCGTTTGCTAGTTTTTGCAAGGTTTCCTGGAGCATGCCTACAACTTGAAGCAGCAGACCGTGCTTGAAACGAAAGTACCGTTGCTGGACCTACTCTCCAAGCCTCTACGTGGCGAGTTGCACTGCGCCAGATATGAGGGCCACCTGAGGTAGCCTGACACATTAGTGATATTTGTGGTTTTTCGCATTATAGAAATGTGCTGCCGGGCAGGGCCCCACAAACTGTCAATGGTGTGCCTGATAAAAGGGGATATAGAGGGGGCCTGAAAGGCAGCTGGACTTTCTTCTGCTGCTGTCAGAGACCCAGCGAGCAGATGCTGTGCGGCGCCTGGCTCACAGAGCCCTGCAGCAGCGGACCTACGCGGCCACGGACTCCATCTTCGAAGCAGGCAACATTGCCTCAGAGGCCCCTTGAGTGCCCCTTGTGATATGGGCTTCATAATCCACGGGCCCGTAATTGGCCTATGGGGGGCAAGGCATGGCAAAGACGCAGGTTTGAGGAGGAAGTTTCGTGCCCAGTTTCGGGCTCAAAACAACACTCAGATTTTTTGTGGAACAGCGCAGAGACCACTTTTACAGAAGTCCCTATTCGGCTCCTTGAGGCATATTTCTTGACAAAGGGTGCTTTGTCGTATGTGCTGGGCTCTGAGAAGCACTCCGTCACGAAGTGCCGCTGGCTAGCCGAGATGAGCTTATGGACTCTTTTGCTCAAAGTACTGCTGCCCTTGTTTTTGTGCTCTAGGATGATAGAACTCTATGGCTAACCCGAGGCTATGCAGCATGTATGTGGGGTTAAGATTCCGAGAAGATGCAGCCTGGGGGTGGTTTCCAAGTTTCTGACCAGACTATCGACGAGACATTTCTCAATACAACACCCTAAACCCTAAACCCTAAATAGTAGCTTCCATTTTCTTTTCCATTATCCCTATGTAACCCCAATATAATCCCTATATAGCCCTCATATACCCCTATAGAATCCCTATATACCCCCTTTTTTCTGAAGGCCCTCATCTGAGGCTGGGTTTGGTCAGAAAAACGCTGGTACATGTGCCCAGTAGTCTTGAAAACAATGCAAGCAAAGACTGTAATCATAAGTAAGGTGCAACATGGTGCAACCTGTTCGATTTGAGAGGGGCTCCTCCTACCCGAGTTACCAGCGAGCCTTCTGGGGGCTGTCAGGTTCAGGGTATATCAGGAGCCTGAGGCTTTGCTGAACATCAAGTCCGGTGAAGTTCCCTCAGCCTCAGCAGCCTGCTGGTAGGACAGCCTGGCCCCGACCAGCATTGTTTCCTTCACTTGCCTGCGTCATCCCATTTAACTGTCCCCGAGCAGCCTCGGAAATTACGCAAGCGCAGCTCTGCCAGGAGAGCCTGATAGAAAATTGGTCCTGTTGCTGGCCCTTCATCGAGAGCGGTCTCCTTGATACCCAGGAGGGTGACCTTTCAGTGCCACCCCTCCTGACATGACCCGATCATAAGCTAGTAGTTTCCATTTTTCCATTATCCCAATATGACCCCAATTTATGTTGGGAGAATGGAAAAGAAAAATGGAAGCTGCTACAATGGGCCACATGGGGGCTATCGGGCTATGACCGCACCTCAATCCACTCCCCCCATCGCTCTTCCCTCAAAACCCCAAATAGTAGTTTCCATGCTCTTTTCCATTATCCAATATTACCCAATATTCTATAGTAGTTTCCATTCTCCTTTCCATTATCCCAAGATATCCCTAATCCATCCCTATGTTACCCAATCTTACCCTGTACTACCCCAATATTACCTCCAAACCCTAAACCCATTTTTGGCAGCAGCTGAGGACTCCGTGGCTACACCTGGGCGAGCTGACGGCTTCGAAAGATTCCGAGGCGCCGTAACCCATTCCATTGGGCTAACATTAAACATATTAAGGGTTGAGGGTTGATAGGGTTTAGGGTGGTAATATGGGGATTATGTTGGGGTAATATTAGGGTCATATTGGGGTTATGGAGAGATAATGGAAAATACAATGGAAACTACTATACGGCAAAAAAGGTGTTTGATTCTGCAAAAGAGAAGAACTGGGAACCTGCAACCGAATGGGTTTTCTCGTTTGTGTGCTCAGGTGCTAGCCATCAAAGTGGAACAGTTTCATGACTCGATGCGACGCTCTTATGACATCCTTCATATCGCGCACCAATATGCTGCAGACTATGTCGAGGCCATGAATCACTTTGTGCTTGTCACAGACCTGTGGCAGAAGATTTCGGACCCAGCGAGACATGACGAGCAACCCATCGATCCTGCTGGATCACCAACGCTCCAGACAAATCGTTCCAAGAAGTCTGCTGGAGGCACCCGTGGCTGGCTCACAACGCGTTTTCAGAGACTTGTTTCCAAGCGCAAGATGGCTGACTTCAGCCAAATCGCCCCTCTCAATTGAGAGGCGTGTTCTATGTTTGATGCGATTTTCTTTCCGCTTCCAGATTCTGTCAGGCCCATATACAAATTACCATGTCAAGAGGGTCCATGCCTGCAAATGTTAGGCTGGGCTGCACGATTTCAGATGATCGCTGTCGGCCCAAGGTTGACATAGCCTTTCAAGTGACATTTCAAGTGTTTGTGATCAAGACGCTGAGGCATTTGAATCACATGCTCAATGCCGAAATCCTCTGTGCATTCCCCTGAAGTTCCCCCAAGTCCCTATAGTCCCCCTTAGGTAGATAGAATATGGGGTATATGGGGATCTTACTGTAACATACCCAAAGCCATATTCTATCTACTTAAGGTGGACTATAAGTATAAAAGCCTGGACTTTCAGCAGAAGCCGAAGGCTTCTTGCAACGGCGCGCGCCAGGCATGATTAAAAGAGTGCCGGCAAACCGCCAAGGTTTGGCTGTGGCTAGAATGAGGAGCCATAACCCATTCCATTGGGGTACAATTAGGGTTATATTGGGGTAACAGTGGGGTAATATAGGGTAATATAGGGTAATGTTGGGGTAGAATTAGGGTATATTGGAGTAATATTGGGGTAATATAAGGTAATATAGGGATTTCCTTGGCATCAGCTTTCGGCGAGGAGTCCATGCGTCGTGAGGAGGCCATCGGACGGCCTGCGGCCGTGAAGCCAAAGCCAAAGGAGAAGGCGCAGCCCGCCGCGAAGGCGAAGGCACTGCACGGGTCTTCACAGCATGGCTCCTGCAAAGGGATTCTCTTTAGGGTTTAGGGTTTAGGGTTTAGGGTTTAGGGTAGGAACTTAAATTAAGTTATCATATTGGGGAAACCCTATTATTTACTACATATCTACCCATTATGGTAACTTAATTTAAGTTCCTTAACAGCAACCCAGTTCTAGCTACAGCGCATGTCAGCGCCATGATGACAGCACCATCAAGCGCCAAAGGTTCTTGGCATCGAAATGCACAGAATTCAATGGGAATCTCAACAAAAATAATCATGCCAACTCGGACAGTTTGGAAGGGCAGCAAAATCGTTCACAAGAGCCGCCCAGATCACTTAGGGGCGAAAGTTGCACCTATTTAGAGATGGACCTCTTTCTCTTAGCGATGATCCTCCTGGTGCTGAATCCGCATATGACCCCATTCTCTTGCGACTAAATCAGTGGTTATAAGTTATGTTTATCTTCACTCCCCCGATCCCCCTTCAGAAGGAGTAGGTTTCTTGACAGCTCCAGGTGTCGGAGCTGCCGCCATGGCTCCAGAGCAGCCGGAGGTCAGGGCGGACGGTGTCTGAAGCCAAGGCTAGGGAAGTTACCAAGCTGTAATCCTAATGAAGTGGTCCTGCCTTTCATTTTAGCCGTTTGCCGGAAAGTGGAAAAGCTTCTGAGAAGACTTGGTTCGCTGTGTTTAGTTGTCAGGCACCAGACTTGCAGAGCCCTACTCCACCCTGGCTTGGCACACGCCGGGGGAGAGCCAACCAGCAGGAGGATGGCGACAAGCGCCGGGAGGCAAACGATGTTGGCAAAGTTTCTGGGTTGCTGTTAAGGAACATAAATTAAGTTACTATATTGGGAAAACCCTATTATTTACTATATAGACCCATTATGGTAATTTACTTTAAAATGTTACTGAGGTCGCAGTCGCCACGGAGGTCATTCAGCCGGTGCCGGCTACTCCATCTCGACTCAAGAGCCAGGAGCTCCTCAAGCCAGCTCCAGCCAGTCCTAGCAAGCCCAAAAGGCCAGGCTACTTCTCTAAATACTTACTACTATTTTTACTATTATTATTACTACTATTACTACGATTATAATGATTATTATTATTGTTGCTATTATTATTATTATTATTACTATCCCCCCCCAAAAAAAGGTAGTGGGGCGTCTTGCTTGACCTGCTTTTTGCCTGCTCAGGGCTCCAATCAGGGAGACGGCTCGACCCGTGCCTTGGCAGCAGCCGTGCCAAACTTCAGCAGGTTGTCTTTCTTCATTGCTTTCGCTTAAGAAAGGAGATGCAGGAGGTCCCCGACACGTGGGAGGAGTTGGAGACCAGCAGCGTGAGCACGGAGGCAGGCAGCTTGAAGTGTGAGTGGTGGCCAAACATGTCATTGCAGGCTCCAGGCTCTGAGGAAGACTCCAAAGACTCCAAGAGCCGCTTCCACAGGGACTTGCAGAACTTGAACAAGGACGGGTCATTTAGGTCAACAGCAGGTTCAGCCAAGCGGCCTAGCACAGTTCTGGACCAGGCTGTAGCAAAATGGCAGAGACATGGCGTTGCTGATGTTGAAGCTCGCATCAGGCCTGTCTCGAAAAGCTGCCGTGGGGTGTCTCGGGGTTTGACGAGTTGAGGTGCTCCAAAGCCGCCCAGCAACTCCGCCTGCGGGACAACTTCGACGAGGAGCATTTCGTTCAGAGTGTCCTGAAGAGGCCAGGGGAGCCTGGAGAAAGCTAATTGCGCGAATCGCATTCCGCAGAGAATTACTCACTTCACTGGCTCAGGTGTGCCCAAGGCAGCCCCACATGAACTGCGGGCCAGTGCGGTGTGCAGGTGTTTGTCGCATTGCAGCGGTCTTGACCGCGCTTCTCACACACGAGGCATGTACAGTGTGTACAGAGCTGTGTACAGATTTCTTAGCCGTCAGATGAAGACCCCATCTGAGCTGCCCCTGTGCTGCCGATGTGACTGGGTTTCCCACACCCTCGCACGGTTTCTCGCACACAGGGCAGTTCAAGACTGTACAGAGGGCAAGAAGAGGGCTCAGCCAAGCAGGGTTGAGTTGAGATTGTGGTGTGCTCAAAGCCCTGCTGCTCAGGCAGATGACGTTGCAGTGGCCACTCAGAAAGTCACTGAGGAGACGCCCTGCTTTGCAAAGTGCTGTGCCAAGATTTGCGGCAGACAAAGGTGCAAACTGCTTCAGGACGTCTGCCCGCCAACGCAGAAGCTGGCAGAGGAGAGCAAAGCACAAATGGCCCGAGCCCACAAGTTGCCTTTCGTGGCCAGGAAATCCCCACACAGAGATTGCCTGAGGCCCGAGCCCTGTTTTGCTGGCTGTCTTGCTTTGGCCAGGCCTCCCCTTTCTGACAGGAGCCTGTGCCTGTGGAGACGCTTGACGTCGGCCCAGTTCCTGAGAAGGCACTGGCTTTTGGTAGGTGCAGCAATGGGCTTCACGATGCCGGGCAGGCCTATCGGCGATCTTCAAGACGCAGGAGACATGAGGCCCAGGGAGGCACACCACCTTGACCGATGTGTTCTTAACAGTGGAGGCAGTGTTCAGCTCACAGGTGCACCTCCAGCCCCGGTGGCAGGGCCAACCCCTGTCAAGGCTGTCGCTGCTGACGTGCGTCCGGCGGCCTGGACCTCATTTAGGCAAATGAGAGGACCTTAACAAAGTGCCGTGTTCTTGCAGGCAGAGCTGATCCGATCTCGAACTGAGAGGCGAGAGGGTGCAGCAAAGTCATTTTTAGTGCAGAGAAGTCACTGTAGTGTTACTGCTCATTGCAAGTCCCTTGCTGAGAGGCTCAGCTTCCAAGACATGGTCTCCTTGGGCCGCCGCCTGCGAGGCAAGCAGACCGCTGAGGCCGAGGCCAAGGTTCTTCAGCGGTGACGAGTGCAGACTTTGACACCTGAAAGGAAGCAGAGACGCCTTCTGAGGCTCGGCATGGAAGATTCACCCTTCCCTAGCAGCCCCTTGCACCTTTCGGATGATTTTGGACCTTACCTGCAACGCAGGGCGAGAAGGTTGATGAGTCCGAAGATCCGGCTCAGGGAAACCTCAAGCCTGGACCTCCTCAGCATGCTGAGGTCCAGGATCAGATTCAGCAGCTTTGTGCTTCGGACACTGCTCATGTTCCTTCCATTGGAGGAGGAGCCCCGAGCTATCGGTGACGCACAAGTGCCAATGGAGATGATTCAGGATGAGGCCATGACTGGTTCCTTGCGGACCAGCCTTGCCGTAAGTCTATCAAAGCTTATCAGCTGTTTTGAGAGGCGAAGCAGACGAGTGCGCAGGTTGGCCTGAAAGTGACCAAGGCTGCCAGCACCACCATCGCCACCAACAAGAGCTGCTTATCTTGGAGCAACTCTCTCCAGGTGCCCACACCGCTTCGATGCCCTTTGCCGCCAGCGGACAACAAGGACAGCAGGGGCCGCCTTCAACACTTATGCCGCAAAGGCACCACATATCTCTGCTGCAAGGCATCAACGCCCCATCCTGCCAACTCTGAGCCCATGGATTGTGCCCAGGACGCCATCAGCATCCATAATCCATCATCAGCTCCTGCTTTGTTTGGCAGCGCTGCAGAACCGTGCAGGAGCGCGGGCCCGTTCAATGCTCTGATGGCTCGCGTGTCGATTTGCGTGGGTTGGTCCAAAGGCACATTGCGGAGGTGCAGGAGGCGGGCTTTAGGGGAGATATAGGGGATATATATAGAGAGAAGTAGTATAAGATTCTTAAGGTGGATACTAGGAGTTTAGACTATAGCTCATATAACTTTATGTAGAAATCCTTAGTTTTTCTCCAGGTTCTGCAGCTTGCAGAATAATCACTCCTTCCAACAAATCCCATGAAAGCTTCCCAAGATCAAGCTGCAAAAAAGTCCATCGGAACTCCTCGAGATGTCATCTCCCAACTTCATCTAGGTGCACAGTGAAGGCGCTTTTGAGATTTAGAGTTTGCGTTTGGTTTAGGGCTCATAGAATACCAAGACCTGCTAGCACGATCAGATAGCACAAGGTTCTCTACATCGTATAATCACGGAATCATTTCGGGTTAAATCGTGGGTGTCAAACTTGTTTTCATGACTTCCAGCAGCTCAGGACATTTCAGTATGTTAGGCCTTGCAGCATTCTTCAGCAATTGGCGTCTGCAGGGGGGTTGAGTGAGTTTAGATTTTGGGTGGGTTTAGCTTCTAACTTGCCAGTTTGACAGCCGCCTGAAGTACATGAAATGCAGGAATGTAAGCTATAGTACTATAGTCTAAACTCCTAGTATCCACCGTAGTAACCCCTGTAGTACTCCCCTGTATGATCCCCTATATTACCCCCCTTCAAGGAGTTTAGACTATAGCTCATACGGGCATCTTAGTATGATAATTCCATACCCTGGCGACTTAAAGGGAGACTATACAGTGGCCAGCTGGGCAGTCTCCAAAACAGGGTTTTAGGCTGGGCCCCCACCTACTACTAAAATAGGAGGATTTTGGCAACCCCAACCCTCAGCCTATAACCATCATCTGAGAATCATAGGGTCCTAATTTTGAGGGTTGGGGTGACCAAAATCCTTCGATTATAGTAGTGACCGCAAGGGATAACGATAATTATCTTGATTAGGGCGCATACCACTATTAGTGCCTGGGGGCCTAACCCAAAACATTTTGTTTGAATAGCAGAGCAGACGCTGCTTACTGTTAGAAAGGTTCTGCAAACATCCGAAGTTCATTCCGAACAGAGTGTAGCCAATAGGGCCAACAGGTGGACAGGAGTGTTTCAAATCCAGTTAATCTTTTTCTGGTTTTCTAGAATCATGCGGAACGTTCTATTTTGTAGCTATAGACTCCAGGTTCAAAACCCTGAATGATGCCTTCTCATCATTGGGCCTGATACTCTTTAAGAGGCCCCCCCAAACACATTATAGGGGGCCTCTTTATTAAAGGAGGTGGGACATTGAAGAACCTGACTGAATTACACCATGTTGGCATGCACCATGGAAAAAGGAGAAGTCACACGTAAGATCAAGAAAATTTGCAACTTCCTGTTTTCAACCAGCTGCTCTTCAGGTTCTGCTATACACTCCTGTGTAGAACCGTTGGTTTAACAGCATAACAAAAGGATTCAGCCGTGTTTTCACGAAATAGCAATAGCAAAAAGAAGCATAATGAGAACAAGAATCATATCAATAATACTAGTACTAAAAAACCTTATAGGCAGAGGATCTGCAGCACTCTGCGGACATCAGAAGTTTTTTAAGCAAAGCCGTGGTTTGCGCAGCGGTCTCCTGACCTCGTGCCGCATGTTGCTTTGAAGTGGAAGTACTCTGCGGCCCGCCTCTTCTTCGGATACGCGGGCGATGTACAATGCAGATGGCACATATGGCAACTGGGCTTCCAAACATAGGGGTCCCCTGTTTCATACCCCAAGCTGCCATGATCCGTATCCTATAGTGACCCTAAATCCTGAACCGTGTGCCAATCCCCAAAGTAAGCTACAGTCTAAACTCCTTAAAGGAGGTTTATAGGGAAGCATGAGAGGGGTTCTTAAGGGGGATACCAGGAATTTAGACTATGGCTCAAGTAGGCTCCGCGTGCTCAGGTCAGCCACTTTCAAGCGAATCTGAGCTAGCTCGCAATCGCGTGGTTCCTGGAAAGAAGTGGGGGTTTCCCAAAATTAGAGGTACCATTCATATTGGGGTCCCAAGAATAAGGATTTGAATATTTTGGGTCTACATTAGGGAAAGAACCGTTTATTTTTTTAAGGACTGGGGGTTGAGTTATTCTCCCCAAGTCCCAAACCTGAACGTAAAACTGTTCTGTTTGGCATATGGCATTGTACGGTGATCTTGGTCACCGCTTGCTGTGAGAGTGGGCCGGCACCCACGCATTGCGAAGACCAAACACATCCAGCCCAGGACCTCCAACCGGATGGAACTTTCCTTTGCCGGCTTTGCGGCAAACGACCCAATGGGCTACACCAAGCCATTGCGCACATCGGGTCGCAAGGTCATCTCAGGGTTCTTCTCAACTACCGTGTAGCACCTGGACAGCAGAATATTGGCAGACCAGCCGCAAGTTGTTGCGTTTCGTGCATGCAGATAGTTTAAGCAGGGATGGCATGCCCTAGCTTTAGAAGTACCAGTATTTGTACTGGTAATGGATACCTGGTGTTATACCATTCATTTAGACTCATAGGCATCGGAGTAGTAGTTCGTGGTAGCTTGAGTAGCTAGTTCTTTGTGATGAAGTGTGAATGCTCAGCAGTGTGCTTAGCTTTTGGTATGTTGCACATATAGCTTTCTTATTAGCATGAACTTTCTCGCCACTCAATATTAATGTTGAGTCTTTGCACGTTGCCAGTACATAATGACTTGCATGAGCACTCGCACCTCCTCCGAAATGGAACCTCTAAGTGTTGCTCATTCAATTGGCTTCCGAACCCTTCAACAAATCATTCAGGAGCCTCACCAGATTAGTTTAGAAATGGTGAGACCCAGAAGCCGTGCCCCAAGCAATTGCATGACCCTGAGGAGCCAACAAATGTTGACCTCGCATGAATGACCCGAGCAGAACAGGGTGCGACATTAGAGCAACATTGGTATTTTTTTGCTGTCGATGCATTTCCGCTAAGGACAGGGCCATCCCTGAGCCGCTCAGCAAGGCGATTCGGGATCTGATGGATGAGCAGGATGTCTGGCGCAGCGACACTGGACCTGTGCGGTCCCTTACCTTCTGCACTGTCTGCGTGCGGCGAAGTCGCCAGCTTTGTGATGCTATGCGTCACAATTTTGCGTTCAGGCCGCACCCGGCAATGCG